AAAGTCGGCCCTCCTGGCGAGAGCGCTGGTCAATTCCCCAATCGCCTTGCTGGTGACGCGGCAGTGGATGGCGTCCCAAATAGTACCCGAATCGTTTTCCAAACAAAGGATCAATGGACATACCAACTCCATGTAGCCGTCTGTCCCATTGGGGAATCCCCAGTAAAGCAATCGGCGCACAACGAGAACTTCGTAGCTGGAGATCTGCTGCGCTGTCGACAACGCGCTGTGGAATGGCAGGGACATAACGTGCTTGGTGCCGTCGAACATCAAGGTCTCGTAGAAGTACGTGAGCTTGGTGTCCTGGATGCCGTGCGTAAGAGTATTGGCCACCCACTTCTGGTACCATACGTCTGCATATGCTGCGACGTGCCGCGACCTGTACACAACCTGTCTGGACACGCCATGCGCCCTTCCAACATCTAAGGCTCTGAGCATGGGGTCATATGCTATGCGTAACACCTGCGGCAAGCTGGCCATTGCCCGGCTCGATACGCTGCGAGGCTTGGCTTCCAGGGCGCGGATGTCAGCCTTCCTCGCGGCGCTGGCGTGGTACTTCGTGATGGTGTGCATCTTCGTAGCGTTAGCTAAAGAAGCTGCCAATCTTTGACTCGCTTTCCGCCGGCACTTCTTTTTCAATTATGGGGCTATGCGAGCGTGCTGCAAGCCCTTCAAGCGCAGGGCAAAGTGGTTCCGAATCATGTCGCAAGTCATCTCCACATTGGTGTGTCCCACAGTCTGAAAGTACGCTCCCCTCCGCTTCGTTTTGGCAAGGTTCATTTTGACACTCAGCCATGCATGGCCCAGCTGGGAGCGGGCGCGAGGGTTGCCTGGGACCCGGGGCCGCACCGCAACATTTCCCATGCGAGGCCGCCTTCGCGTTCGTGATTCTCGTGCGATTGCTGTCGCCACGACCGCACTGGCGCCTGGGTACACCTGTTCTACCAAGGCCGCGTTTTGTCCAGCAGCTGCTGCAGCATGCGCCGTGGCCTGCCCAACGGCCGGTGCAGCAGGTGCTACGGCGGCTGCTGGGCACTCAGCGTCGCTGTCATCCGACAGGTCCGCCGAAACGGCCGCCAGCCAGTCCACCATGGGGCACAAGCTCTAAAGGCTTACAAGCCTAAACAAGAGCCCAAATGGCTACGCGGACGGATGATTATGATAATGATGCCGATGATGATGATGATGATGATGCTGATGATGATGATGATGATGATGATGGTGGTGGTGATGATGATTGTATACACTTTTCGATTTGTGCGTGTCATCCTTGCGCAGGGGCCATGCTAATCTTCTCTGTATCGTTCCAATTGTAACGGATGACCCCCGAAGGGAATCCATGATGATGATGGTGGTGATGATGATGGTGATCCCGCTCTCCAAGGGGGGTCGGAACCGACACGCTCGCGCCCACCGTTGCTAGTAAATCCGCTCTCCCAATCAAGAGGGAGGTTGGGCCGACGCTGCACTCTGCAGTACTGTGCCCCGCTACATTGCCCTCAGGGTGGCTTACTCGAGGCCTACTGACCGACCGAGGGCGCCGAAGGGGACGAAAACGGACCGACCGAGGGGTCCTACCGATGGGCCCAGAAACAACCGCCAAATCGATTGCCCCCAGGAATGGCAAGAAACGAGCGGGACAGATTGGACCGAGAAGCCGAAAAGCCCGCACATCAATGACCGTAGAAGCAAAGCAAATAATGAGGAGGGGGAGGGGGGGGAGGTAAGTATTGACGGACGGGGAGTAGGGGAGGAAACCCAAAGCCTAAAACCCTTGAGAACCCCCTAACCCCTTAGTACCTCCGAACCCTCCTGGAAACACCTTGGACCTCCTCAGGCCTCCCCAAGACTATGTAGACCCCGCTGGCCCCCCGCAAAAACAATGTCAAAATCCTGCGCAAGCTTCGAGGAGCCCCTGGAGCCCCCCCCCAGTTTCCTTCCTGCCCGTCTCCCTTACTTAGCCGTCCTTCCTCCGCCTCTTCGACGTACTCCGCCTCCTGCCTACCCGCCCTCCCCCATCCACCTTTCCTAGCGCGCGCTGCGCAATCCGGACCAGGCCCGCGCGTGAAAGGTTATGCCCGAATCGCTGTGCGAAGGCATGCTCGGCCTCCCGACCCCCGCAATCCCTAGCGAAACTACGGCGGTGGCAACGAACTTGTTCGTCATCAGGGGGCCCCCATCCCACGAGTGGCGCATGGCCGCGCCAACCGAACGACTTCGAGCGAGGAGACGATGTGAAAGCCTCTCGTCGGGCTGATTTTGTTGCGGGAAAGCGTCTCGATAGGAACCGGCTTCTGGAGAAGCGTATCGACAGGAACCGCCCTCCGGAGAAACGTCTCGGCACGCGAGATAGGAGACGGAATGGGGGGAGGAGGGAAGGGAAGGGGAAGAATGGAGGAGGAGGAGAATTGCGAGTGGGACGAGGCATAGCCGCCTCGAAGACCTCGCAATCCCAGAGGAGCACAAAACAAAGAAACTTTTCCACTTCTTTGAACTCGTAGAACTGTCGCACAGCTTACTGAAGCAACCACGAAGAACTTAGAATTTAGGGCCCCCTAGCGTCCGTTATGAGTTATGAGGAGAAGTGGCCTCAATGTCCCCTTCCTCCTCCCTCATGTTCTGGCTGGTCAATGACATCACTCCTTCCTATCCCCCCCATCCCTCCCCTGCCCCCGCAAAGCTATCCCATGGGAAGGGGGGTGGGGGACAAAGGAGATAACGCAAAGAAGGGAGGAGGGAGGAATGGGGAACAAGGGCTGCATGGATGAGATGGATTGCAGGGAGGACGGAAAAGGAGAAAGACGGGGGTCGGTTGACGGGAGGACTGGGAGGACGAGGGGCCATAAAGGATGGATAATTTTGGTCACGGACTTGGCTTTGGGCGCGCAAATTCAAGGCCCGCGGGGCCAAATCAATTCGGAGGTATCCGAACAAGTAAAAGTGATAGGCCGGGTGCTCAAAAGTTAAGGGCCGGGCGGCCGAAAGTTAAGGGCCGGGTGGTCCCCAGTTAAGGGCCGGGTGCTCAAAAGTTAAGGGCCGGGTGGTCCTAAGTTAAGGGCTGGGTGGTCCTAAGTTAAGGGCTGGGTGGTTAAAAGTTAAGGGCCGGGTGCGCCGCGTGCGCGTGTGCGCAATGGGTTTTGATAAGGGCCGGTAGGGGCCGATACGTGAGACCAAGGAGGACCCCACATTAGGTGTCGCTGGGACCCTATAACGTATGGCTGCGTCTGGGTGGAGAGAAAGGGAAAGAGGTGACTGAGTGAGTGGGTGAGGCAGAAACAGACAAGCCGCCGTACACATCCCCCAATCTGAGCGCAACCCCTGTAGAGTCTTCACCCCTGGCAAATCCCCCAGTGGGGTGCCCAAGTGCCACGCCTGCTTTATCGCGGTGGGCGTTGGACCATTAAGATAAATTAAACCTGGGGTCGGGGCCAAGCAAGCCGCCTGCCGTATCCCCCAAAATTTGTCGCGAAGCCTAAGATGTCCCCACCACTGGCGGCTCCCCTTGGGGTGCCCACATGCAACGCCTGCTGTATCCCGGTGGGCATTGGACCACCATAGACATGTTTAGGGGGCAGAAATAAGCAAACCGCCAAAGACTGCTCCGAAAACAAAGGGTGTTGGGCACGCACACGCGCGAATCGCCTGAGACATCCCCGCCGCAATCAATCTGGGCGTCAATCCTAGAATGTCCCCTCCTCTGGTGCCCCCACCCCACTAGGAGTGCTGAAACCAACACCTCGCCTGAAACATACCTATAATCCGCTTCGAAAGCTGACGGGGTTGGGCACGCAGGCAGGCAAACCGCTTGAGAAATCCCCAATGTGAGCGCAACTCCTGGAGAATCGTCCCCCCTGGCAACACCCCCAGCGGGGTGCTCAAGTGCCATGCCTGCTAAATGGCTGTGCGCACTGGGCCACCAATGAGCATGAGGGAGTACGAATCTGAGTATTAGAAAGGTTCGGGTGTGAGGTAGTCTCACGGTGATCGAGTCCGAACATGAATGAGGTTAGCTGTGTGAGAATCTGAAGCTGGAGAAGTCTGAATGCACGGAACCTGAGTATGTATGAATCTGAATGTTGGGAAATGTGGCTGTAAATGAATATGACTGTGAGCGAAGCGTGGTACCAGTGAGTATGATTAAGAATGAGTCGGAGTGTGAATGATTCGTGATATGACTGAGTATGAACCCGCGTGGGTCTTTCTGGTTAAGGAAACGACAAGATAAGACGCGACCGTGGGCCCGCAGTTCTCGTTCCATCTCTGGAAGGCGGCAACGGGCAGCGGCGGCAGCGGGGCAGGGAGACCTGTCAGAGTACATGCGCCCGACGCGAGCCGAACATGCATGGAATGTTGAACTCCAAGGGTTACGACGAAAACAACAAAACCTTTCAACTCAGAGAAACGCGCCCGCCGGATGACAATACACTGCCACGAAGATCGAGCAGGACCCGTCGGGCCCTGACGGACAGAGAAGCCGGGCCCCAGGGGCACGACGACCGACGAAAGGGGTGCGAGCGAACCCTAAGACACGGAGGGACAACAAGGCCCTGGGCGCCGTCCAAATAAAACGCAAGGGCCGAGGCGGGCAAAAGCCAGGAGGCAGGAGGCGAGGAAAGCGAGAGGAGCGGGGGCACATCCAACAGCAGCGGAGGGTCCCCCAGGGTCGGCGGGCGCGGCGCGATCGTGGGACCCCGCAGCGCGGGCTGCAAATATGAAGGACAAGAAACCTGCCCACGCAGACGCGATACACGCCAAAAGGCCGACGCAATCGACGCGCACGAGCACGATGATGCGCCAGATGGCGCACGGCAGCAGGCGTTTGTCATTGACATCTTCTGAGAGCGCGAAGGCGCAACCCACCAGCAGCACTTGATGGACCACGACGTACCAGTTCGAGCTGCAGCAAAATCGTCACGACTGGACCTAGCGAGTCGCTGGGATTTACCAATTCGAGCCGAAGCAAAACGGCGACGACCGAATGAGCTCACTGGCTAATTAAATTAGAATTTGCAGCAGGAGGCCGTCGAGCTACCTCTCAGCCTCACCGCCAGCTGCGTTCGCAAGGTTCCCTCCATCGCCCCCATCGGCGCCGCGCCCTGCGCCGTGCGAGCCCCGACCTCGGCCAGCTCCGTTTTGGGCAAACTGTGGGCGAGCGCGGGCGAAAGCAGAGGCAGCTCGTCGGACTCGGGCGACGGCCGGTCCACCGGCACTTCCCGCAGCATGGCTGGCACCTTGCGCTTGGAGCGGTCGATGCACTGCGTCGCGCGGACGCGGCGGAGGATATTCCGCAGCTCGTCTGGCTACAGCTCCACTCATGCAGTGGCGCGCCAGTCCGTGAGCGGCGAGTGCGCCCCCCGCCCCGGCGCGGCTCCACGTTCGAACATCTTGGCGAGACACCCAATGAATATATGCAGGTGAGGGGGGCCCCGTAGGCAGCCTTCCCCGCGGGCTCGGGCTCCTCTTGAATTCGTCGCCCCGCCCTCCTGAGCCGCGCTGATCTCGGGGGCTCCCGCGCGCGCGAAGAAAGCGCCCGCGCCCGCCGCCCGCGGGCCCCAAACCATCTGACTGGCGAGGGGGGCCTGCTTGAGAAGCGCGTTGATCGAGCCTGCCTGCTTCTTGTTGTAGCCCATGTCCTTGACCTTGCCGAGGTGCCTGTTGCGCTGCTTCTTGTCGCCCTTGTCTTTCTGCTGGCCGCCGACGGCCGCGCGCTGCCCCCGCGGCGCCGCGGCTGCGGCGCCGCTCCTGCTGGACTTCGCGGGGGGCTTGGCTTTGGCCGCGGGAAGAGCGCCGTCGGCCCCCTGCTCGGCGGCCGCCCGCTTGGGGAGCTGCCACTGAGGGGCCGCCGCCCCGCGGCTCGGCGCAAACGGGCACGGGGGGGAGGTGTCGCTCGCAAATCCGCGCCTGCAGCTGGGCCAGATCAACGCAGGAGTCGAGCTTGCCAGCGGGGCGCTCGAGCTCGGGGGGCACAGCGGGGCGGAGGTGCACCGGCGCGCCGGGCGCCCGTTTGTAGCCGCGCATCTGGCGCAGCGCGTGAAACCACCGCGCGACCCCCAATGGCGCGCGTCTCATTTGCGATGAGCGCGGCGCGCGCGAGGAACTTAGCCCCGCGTGAATCGCCGCCGCCAGCGATGCAATCACGCGCGAAAGCAGGGCTCATGAGATCCCTGGGGCCCGCTGCCAGGAATCCAGGGGGGTGCCAAAATCGGTCGCGCCGAGCTCAGTGCGACCAGGCTGCCATACTTCGCGAAGCGCCGAAACGCCCGCCGAGAGAAACATCGGCGAAACGCGCCCGTCGCGAGGAAGGTCGCGCGCACCCCCCCCAAAACCTGGGCCCGCTCCTCGTAGTCAGTGGGCAGCTGAAGAGCGCGAGCGCCCGAAACGAAACGAACTGCAATGGCGTTGGCGCGCGCGGCAAGGCGGCCCTCGAGCAGCGCGGGGGGGCCCCCGAAGCCGAACTGACCGCGCAGACGGGCGGCGACCTGGCGGCGCTGGTCGGGCCAGCGAACGAGAGACTGACACCAGCAGGGCCTCTGAAGCAGGAGCTCGACGCGTGGCGGGGCAATGTTCGCCCACTTCCAGACCCGGCGATTATCCCGCGACTTCGGGCGACCCCCCGGCCGATCACGCGTGGCGCCCTCCGCTACACAACAAATTCGCAACGCGACATCGAATTCAGCCTCTCGGGCATCCGCGAGGAAATGCGGGGCGAGGCCGGACGACAGCGGACCCTGCGCAAACGCTATGAGTTCCAATCCCTTCATCTTGAAACGGGGCCCCGAAGCCCACGTAAATCTTGACGGGGGCCAACCTCGACTGGCCGCTCGTTTACCCCGGTGCATCTGGCGGGGGGCCGCTCCAGGCGGCAATAAAAAGGGCCCAAATAGCGGGCTCGGGGGGGGCGCTCTGGCACCGCCGACCTCGGCAATGCAAAGCTTGCGATTGGCATTGCAAAGCTTGCGATTGGCATTGCAGACGCAGCGGCGGAGGGCCAGGACCTGCTGCCCGGCGTTCTGGCGGTAGCCGAAGGTTCCCAGCCCTGCCCCGAGGGGGGGCAAGGGGGCCTGGGCGCGCGAGGCGGCATCCGCCAGAGATCCCAAGGCCAGGAGCAAAAAATTAGCCAGGTCATCCACGTACTCAAATACGTCCCCATGCACGTCTAGATCGAACATGCTCCGATCGAGCCGCTGCCCCAGAGGCCGAGCAAAGATCGCGCGCAATTCATCGCGGGCACTCGAATCCCCCATGCAGGCCGCGCTCTGGAGGTGAAGGTGAGCGCGCTGGCCCACGCCATCCACTCGCGAAACGTGCGCGGCGCGCCCGTCGGCGAGAAGATCGGCGCCCGCCGAGGGAATGGATCCGCGCAGCCCCTGCCCCACGCTGGCGCGCGCGCAGCAGCCGAACGCGTTCTTCACACCAGCGAAGACCACCGCGTGCCATGCTCGCGCCGCGCGCGGCCGCTCCGACGGAACATGCGCCCCCAGGATGGCGTTCTCTCTTCTGCAATGCGGGGTGCACCCGCGGTCGAATTTGTCTGGGGCAACGCGCGGCGCCGAGCGGCAGGCGCCGCGCACGGCTGCCCCGAAGAAAACCATATCCCGAGCAGGAAGCGCATGCCCCCGTCGGGATGGGGGGTCTGCCGGCCAATCGAGAACGCCGCGCGTGCCAGAACACCCTGTCAGCCACCCAGCACGCGGCGAGACTCTCAAGCCCAGCGGTGGCAACATCCACCTCGGGGGCTTCAGGTTCGGCGCCAATGCCGAATGGAGAGGGGCCAAGCTTGCTGCAATGCTGAAGTTGAGAACGCATTTGCCTGACCCCCCCCCCCCCAGGCAAGGACCGCGGGGGCAAATAACGACGGCGAGACGAACGACGCAGCGCCCCCGGGGCCCCGACGCCGACCCATCGCCCCCGCCGAGCTCCTCGCTCGCATGCCCCGCGGGGCCAGCGAAGCCCGCTCCATGCGGGACTAGCCCGAGTAGGCTCTGACGGCCGAGAGACCGCCTTCGTCCCCGGGGGGCCGAGACAGCGCGCGAGTTCCTCTGCCGATGCATGGCGACGTCGCGCTGCCGAGCAGCTGCGGCACACGGGGCCGAGCCCTGCGCCTGGGAGGCGGCGAACAAAAATGATGCGCCCGAGCCAGATCTCGACGCCGCCAGGCCCTGTGGTGGCCTCCGCCCAGGTCCTGCGGCAGGCTCGGGTTCAACGTCGCACCTCCCAGCGGATGCGGCTTGCGAGGTCGCGGGCCCAAAAGTCGCACAGCTGGCGGGCTGCGCTCGGCAGCCGAAGCCGAGCGCGGCGAACGCATTGCGCGATGCTGAAGGGGGGGGGGGGGGGGCGGCGCCAGGCACGCGGCGGGCGCGGCCGACATGCTCCCTCGCGAAGGGCATGAAGACAGAGAGCAACGCGCCGTAGCCGTCGTCGACGCGGTCGGCCTCGAAGTGGCCGGGGTAAGCGGGCGCCTGGGCCCGCGTGGCCGCGTCCAGCTCGCTCGAGACCCCCCGCGAGCCGCCCGTCTGCAAGGCCATCTCAATCGCGTCGAAGTTCCAAGTCGTGGCCGCCGCACCGTTCTGCAAACTGAGGGCGCCAACTTCCACCTCCAACAGCAGCGGCGCATGGTCACGCGACGCCCTCTTGCTAGGAAAGAGGTGGAGGTTGCGAGCCGTTTTCGTCATCGTCAAGAGCATCTGCGCGCGCGGCAGCACCCCCGACGGCAGCACGAATTGGTCTGTCCACGACGCACTCTCCTCGCTGTGGAAAGACGGCGCGACCTTGTGGAAGGTGGTGGCGCAGCCGAGGAAGTGGCGGTGCATCAGCTCGCGGAGGCACCAGGCCGCGTAGCCCATGCGCTCCTGCACGAAGGGGCCCACGCGCTGGAACGCGTCCGTGGAGTCGCCCACGACGAACGAGTCGTCCAAGTCAGTGAACATCAGCGGCGTCGACCTCTCGAGGGTAGCGTCAAGCTGCGCACTGAACCACTCGATGAGCACATCCACCGTGCAACGCCAGGGCGCCTGGGTACCCCTTGAACCAGGCGGAGGGAAATAAAGCGACACACTCGTGAGGGCCAGCGATCCCGAGGTGACGTGGGCAAGGCCCGCGCGCCCAAACGCAGCCACAGGGCCAGGGGCTTCACGATGAATCCGAAGTGCCAAGTCGCGCCGCTGCAAGCCGATGCTGACACCAGCTAAACGGCTGCTGAAAGGGCCCAGCCCGAAGCCGAAGTGCAGGTAATCGTGGCCCTCGACGCTGGACTGGCGGCGCACCGCCTCGGCGGGCTTGGCGAGAAGCCTGGTGCCCATGAGCACGTGGACCGGGAAGTGGCGGCCGAACGCTGCGACCTCGTCGAAACGCCTGGGCTGCACGAGACTGTACACACTATACCCAAACATCTTGCACCGCATGGGCCCTGTGGGAGCACCTATCAGGGTCGAGCAGCATAGAGCATCGGTGCAGGGCCCTGCTCGGTCGGGAAGGAGTCGGTTGTTCAGCCGTCTGCAGGGGTTGCCAAAATAATAGGCCCAACTGGATGCGACTCGACACGGAACGGGGCTGGTTAAGGAAGAGGAGGAATGGAAGAAACAAATCAATAAGAGTAGGGTTTGTTCCCGGGGCCGGCTAAGCAATACGAAGAAGCCCACGTTTGGATCTGGGGAATAATCAACGTGAACATCCTGGTCACCGTCATCGCCGTCGTCAACCTCATCATCGTCATCGTCATCATCGTCGTCGTCATCATCATCATCACCATCATCACCCCCATCATCCTCATAATCCTCATCATCCTCGTCACGGCTCTCCCAGGTCTGGAGACACGAGGAGTCACACGTGACGGCCTCCATTGACCCCTCGAACCATCGCCACCCAGAATGCTTGGCTGGCACGGTGGCGGCGTTTGCTGCAGGCAGCTGGACATATCAGTGATAGGTTCCCGATCCCACAGGGGATGAGCCTTTAAAACACCCAAGACTGCCAATCAGGGTGTGCAAGAGAAAAAGCAGAAGCGGCATAAACAGAAATTGGCGGAGGTCCCCGCGGAGCTCCGACAACATATGTTCCTTCAATGTTGTCTCCTTCAAACACCCACCCCAACCGGGGCGTGCACGAAACAAACGCAGAGTATCGAGGGGGACACGAACATATACCGATACCCCTGCTGCCCGAACCTCTCCTGGCGCACGCTCTGACCAACATTTCGGGGCGACTCCAGCCGTGGCGACATGGGCCTCCCAGGACCGGGGGAACGAAAGAGACTCGGGTTCGGGGGACTCGGATGGGCCCAACAGGGCCGTCATGAAACTGACGAGACCCAATCTGAAACTTGTCGCGAGCACCCGCGGCAAACATCCCACGAGAAATGGACCGTCACATTCCAGGACGCGCTCGTCAAAACGCGTCGGCAAGCCCGAGTTCGGGCGCACTCGAGCCTCACGTTTCCCCGACAGGAGGCCCAACAAGGCGACATCGAGGTCGGTATCGGTACTTCTTCCTCCTCGGAGGATCTGGGGGGGATGATAGCGTCAGCGCTCCCGGCCTCAGTCTCGCGCAGCTTCCAGCCCGCCCGCGACAGCCACTCCCGCGCACCCCGGGGTACCGAGTCCGTGTGCAGCACCACCAGGTCGTGGGGGGTTCCTGTGGCCCGCAGCGACCTCCCGAGCACCATCGACCCGAGGATGTTCGAGGAAGAAAGAGCGGCATTAAGAATTATCTGTCGGAGCTCCGCGCGGATTTGTTGGATCGGCGCTGGGCCCCCCCTGGCGGCGGCGCCTCTGGCACCGCCCCCATGGCGACTCCGACGACGCAAGGGAGGGGGGTCCAGCGCCGTTCTGGGGGGAGACCCGCGCGGATCTCCGACAGATTGTGCTCAGTCCCGCTGTCCCTCCTTCGACCTGTAAGACGGGTTCTCCCCCCACAGCACCACCACGTACGCGCACTTGCGATTCGGGCGGGGTGGCTCGGACGGCGGAGCGGGCGCCAGCTGCAGGTCCACCGGGCGCTTGCAGACGGGGCAGAACGTGGACCACGAGCCGCAGGCGCCCGGCTCCACCTCCCTCTGCACGGCCCCCGGGCAGGGCGAGGTCACTTTCAGCCTGCCCCGGGCGGAGTCTGTGGGATTCGTGGAGGCGAAGGGGAGAAGAGGGGCGCGGGAGAGGGCGAGGGGGAGGTGGAGAGGGAGGGCGAGGGGGGGGTGGAGAGGGAGAGCGAGGGAGAGTGGAGAGGGAGAACGGAAGGAGGTGAGGAGCGTGAGGAGGCTGAGGAGGGCGAGGGGGCGGGGAGGGCGAGGCTGAGGAGACGAGGGGGAGGTGGAGAGGGAGAGCGGGAGGAGCAGTAGGAATGGGGACGGGGCGGTGGAAGGGGAGGTGGAGGAAGGAGGGCTGGGCGAGGGCGAGAAGGGGGATGATATGAGGAGGAGAGGGAGGAGGAGGAGGAGGAGGAGGAGGAGGAGGAGGAGGAGGAGGAGGAGGAGGAGGAGGAGGAGGAGTGGGAAAAGGATGGGTGCGGAGAAGAAGATAGAAAAAAACACCGAGAAAGCCGCGGGCACCTCGGCCCAGGTCGTGGGGGGAGGAAGGGTAGGATAGCAAAGGGCAGGGTGGAGCATCAGCTCACGTATAGCTGGTCTTCCTGGCGCCTCTTGGCGCCAGGGAGCGCCCATGTGTCGAGAAATGGGCCCAGCGGCGGGGCCGAAACAGATTTCGTCACCCCCGACTCGTCGTCGTCTTTGTCGTCGTCGGCGTCGTCGTCTTCGGCGTCGTCGTCGTCGTCGTCGTCGGCGTCGTCGTCGTCGGCGTCGGCGTCGGCGTCGGCGTCGGCGTCGTCGGCGTCGTCCTCGTCGTCGTCGTCCGGCCCGACGCCAGCAAAAGACGCCAGAAGCTGGCCGGCGGCGCGCACCACAAGGGGGCGCCGCGAGAGGGGACGGCCCTCCCTAAACGAGGGCGGGGGCGGCCCTCCCTACGAAGGCGGGTGCCGAGAGGCGAGAGGGAGACAAGCGTCGTGCTGGGGGGAGGGGTCGGGAAATTGAAGTCGAAGCCAGGACGAGGATGACGTCGGGAGGGGATAAGTAAATGGGGAATCTCTGAGATGCGGCGGCTCTGGAGGATCATGGGCCCCGCGGCCTTCCCAAAGCGTTCCAGAACGCTCTGAGAGCGTCCTGGAACGCTCCAGAAAGGATTTATCTTCGTCATATCACCTTCCGAAGGGGTCGTGAAGATGCAGGGCACGACTGTGTCATGAGCACATTTCAACATACGCGCTCGGACGATCTGACCATTCTCCCAACTCCATCATCCCAAACCGATAGTTGTCTTTCTGAAGAAGAGTCCAGCAGCTTCTAAGGAGGCCTCTTAGAAGCCAGTTTGGCGTCTGAGAAGCCCCTTGCGTTCTTCGAAGCACTCTGGGCCTCTCGGAAGGCCGCCACCCCCGCGCCACCCCCTTCTGTGCGTC